AGAGAGAATGGTGCAACAATGAATGAGTGGAAGCCCAAAATCTCTGTAAATGTTTATGAAAATTAATAAAATATAATTATAGAAACAAAAAAAGGTTTTTCAGACACAACCACAAACATACAATAATCTTTCTCTAGTTCCATTTCAAACAATTCAACTGAGATAATAACTAAATCAGAAAATGAGGTATCACATGACAATAAAAGAACTTAAGTTTAATAGCTGTGATAAATGCAGTCACTATGTGAGAAAATGTAATTTTGTTATTTATTTTCGTGAGAGTTCACAAGAAGTTTGAGTTTTAATTCATTCATACACATTTACTTCCTTTTGTCTTCCCCAATTCACTCTGTAATGCTTGTCCTGTTACAGACTGTCAATTGTCATACATACAGTGTTTAATCTTCTGTCCCTTTCAGATTGTCCTCCCCTTCACCTAATCCAGTGCAATGTTCATTATCTATGTATCCTTTTCCCATTCTCAGTCCTTCTCGTATCCACATTATTATTCTAATGGTGGTATTATGCAGTATTTGTCTTTTTCTGAGATATATTGCTTAGCATATCTTCCAGACTCATCCATGTGTATAGTGTTTTATGAGTTCACTGTTTTTCAATGCTGTATAATATTCCATTGTGTGCCTTTATCAGTTTCTCCATTCATTTCTTGATGGGTGCCTGGGTTCCTTCCATCTCCTTCCTATTGTGAATAATGGCATAATAAACATAGGTGAGCATAAATTTGTGTCACAGCTCTTATTTCTTTGAAAAACAGTCCCAGTAGCGGGATAATTGGATCAAATGGTATTCCTATTTTCAACTTTCTGAAGTGCCAGACTGTCTTCCATAATGGTTGTACCATTTCACAATCCTACCAGCAGTGTGAGACTTCCTCTCTTTACATCGTCCTAAGAATTTGTTGATTGCTGTTCAACAAGATTTCACGGTTGCTATTGTTGAAAAAAGATGGTTATCTCATTGTTGGTTTGATTTGCACCTTTGTGACAGTTTGTGATTTTGAGCCTTTTTTTCATGTGTTTTTTAGCCATCTAACTTTCTTCTTTGTTGAAGTTCATCTGTTCATTTTGTTACTGGGCTGTTTGTCTTTTTCTTGTTGATACCTTGGAATATTCTATATAAAATGTTAGATGTGTGTCCCTTACCAAATATGTCATTGCTGATTTTTTTTTTACCAGTCTGTAGGCTTCCATTTTACCTTACTGGAAAAGTTTTCTGAGGTGCACACAAGGATTCAATTTTTAGATGATCTCAGTTATATACTTTATCATCTCTTAGTTGGAGGTTTTTTTATTATGCTTCAAAGTCTATTCATGCCATAGTTTGAGGCTTCTAGATTTGTTCTTATTTTTTCTCTGACGATCATTATAGTTTTGGATTTTACCTCTAGGTCTTAGATCCACCTTTAGTTTTTTAGTATGGTATGAGATGTGAATCTTACTTCAATTTTTCTGCAAATGGATATGCATTGCTAAATATATGCCCATTTCCTCAAGATTTTAATATTTCTTAAGAGTATAACTTTTCATAATATCCCATTATCCTTTTTTTCTCTTCTGTTGTTTATTTTTTTATTATTAAATTTTATTAATTTTAATGAACATTTGCAGAGATTTTGGGTTTTCATTCATTCATTGTTGCACTATTTTCTCTACCCTCCTCCCCAGTTCATTCTTCCCCCCCCTTAAAAGCCTGTTTTAACTGTCAAATTGCCACAGTGCTTGTCAAAGCCAGTTCTGATTAATCTCCTTTGTCAGT